TGGAGGTGTGGTACAACAAGGTCGAGGACGGGGCGGCATGGTTCATGAGGAAATGGCACAGGCAGGAGGCGGAAGCGTCCGCGAAGCGCCAGCGCGCGAGGGAAGCAGAAGCAGAGAGTACGGTCATCTCAGGACCGAAGAGAGAGAGAGCCGGGGAAGAGGCGGTGGGGGGGAAGAAACGGCGACCGGGCACTGCTGTAGAAGTGAGTAGGGCAGCGGAGGCAGCACTTGTGGCGAACTATGTACCCGGCTGATGTTGTTGCGCCCTGTTTCCCTCCCTGCTGTATGCTATACTCCTTTCTGTATGTCCTTTGTATTGCCTTCGGCCTCTGTGCTGTGTTTCTTTTTTTCATGACCTCCCTGCCTACTCTGCTGTGTTGGGTACCTTGATCTCGCTTTACTGTTGCCTTTGTTTTTGTACGTCTGGCTGTCTGCCCATCTGCCGCCTCTTTGTCCTGTTTGCTCCGTTACTCCCATGCCCTGGTGCGTAGTGCCTGGTGCTGGTACGTTACCCTTTGATTTTTTCTCTGTGCGGGTGTGGGAAGCGTCCTCCTTTATTTTTGTTTTGTTTTATTTTGATCGGGTTCCGAGGGCTATTTTCTCGAACGGTCGGTGCGATACCTGTTTTTTTCTCTCCATCATTTTGTTTCTTTTTCCGAGTGGTTTGTACCCTATTTTTGTTTTGTTTTTCCCGCGGCGTCGTATGTGCCGGGCTTTGAGACCACGGGCTCCCCATTTTTTGTGGACTATGGAGCTAATGTGAGAAACAACAACAACAACAATAACACATGCGTTCGTCGAAAATCTTCAACTAACACGCAAAACAGAAAAGTATCCGAATTCAACCAACTCAACGAAAATAATTCTTCACAACATGGGTTTCCAACCGCAAGAAAATCGGTTCGTTGGATGTGTGCAACTAATCTCCGAATTTTATGCGAAAACACCGCATGATCAAGAGTGACAGCGACGGGGAGGGCCAGCCCCTACGTCGGGTGGCCTCCGGTAGGTCTCCGGGGGCTCTAGCTGGGGACCGCATTCGTCTCCCCCGGCGCGGTATGCGTACGGCGTGCCGTACTCTTGTCATTCGGTGCGCATGGAAAGAAAGGCCTGTACCGTTACTACAGTAGCACCGCTTCCAAGCCTGAGCACGCTGTAGCATTTTGATACGGTAGGCTACTTGATGTATACACCGACTGCTCCATCTCCACCTTCTACGCTTTGTAGACCTAGATTTTTTCTTGGAGCTTCTACGGACACACTTCATTGGAACGGAAAAATGGGCATGACAGGTGCAGTCGAGAGATGACGCCTCTCCGGAAGCACTTGATAACGAGTGGGCAGGACAGGGTGTAGAGATGACGAAGTGACTGACTGGTGGTGCACATACGTGAGCATAGCAAAATCTGAGCGGTACCTTGTTAGTGGTTGGAACATGAAGAAACCCCGCTCGGGGTTCGATTCTGGGACAGGGAATAGGAAATCTTTAGTCGTCGGACGGTTGCCGGCGGCCCTCACTGACCGATGGTGGCAAGCACTCCGATACCATTATCTCCTTTCCAAATCTCAAGAGAGAAAGCTGCCAGCCCCCGGTAGTGTGTGGAAGCTTCCACGACCTTTGGGGTCTCCTTGTAAGGAGGGTAGCCTGTGTCCTTATGGCGTCGGTGAAACGCACAAAATATATTGCGCGAAGGAACTGACATCGAGTGCAGATGCCAAGCAATTCCACTGCAAATATCTTGTTCCCGCGAGCGTCTGCTGTGCGAAGGTGTACAGATTACGGGAAAGACCCTGGCAAGTACCTTGGGAAACGGATCCTTCACAACACTTTCCACCCACACACTCTACCCTCTGCGCGGGAATATTGGGGCCAAGCAGGGTAGTTCACTGGAGGTATCAACAGATTTTTTTAGGATCGGGCCAGGAGGTGACATCGATTTTACTCTTTTGGAAAATGTTGAAGTCGGGAGCAATGTGCACTATCGGGGTATCGCACCACCAGAGGCCTCGAGACATGTACGGTGTGCAAATTTGTAACGGTTGCGGAAAATGCATAACTGAAAGGTGCCTTGGTAAACGGATCATCTTCATGAAAGGTGCCTTGGTAAACGGATCATCTTCAGCTATATAGCGGCCGAGAACACGGCAGCTGAAATGCCTGAAGTGGGCTCTTCAAAACCCCCAAGAAAGAAAACAGTCAGCTTTTCTGGTCCAAGTGGGGTACCTCGGGGTGCATTCTGACTACTTTGTGCACCCATCTGTTCAACAAACGCAAACAATGCTTCCTACTGGGTGTCTTGCTATCAGTTTCGTTTTTCCGTTGTCGAAGACGGCGGTGTACGTTTCCCTTCGACCTATATAGCACCACGCACCGCTGCTCTCCTGGGTGGGGTTGCATTGTTATGTATTCCAGCAAGAAATGAGGTATTAGTATGCGGGGAGCAAGTGTAACAAGGTTGGGCAGTGTTGAGCGTATCTTACTAGGGGAAGTGCGATAAAGGCACGAGGACGGATCGAGCACAACGGAAGCACTGATTTAGCCGTTGAACCACCGCTGTTGATGGTTCACAGTTGTATTGTTTGACAGAGACTAATCTCCCCTACCCTCGCGTTATGCCTTCTTTCACGACGACGCGTACTGTGTTGTCTCTTGCGTTGCTACTATTCTTCGCCTCCCTGATCTGTTGACGCCAAACCAAACCCGCACACAGCGATGCATGCAGGAGTGCGAAGGATCCTCGTACTTCGGGACGCATTAGGGAAAGGAGGTGAGGGAACTGAACCACACTAAAGGAGTTGATTTTCCTTGTTTTTCGGATCTGAGGCACCTCCGAACCGAGATCCATTTTTCGTCACCCGATGAACGCTCACCAAAACCTTCACCGCCAAAACCTCCCGCCTCATCTATCATTCCCGTGAAACCGAATGAACGAACCAAGTGCTGGTGCTCGTCGAACGGGTCCGTGGAAATGGTTGACTACGAGCAGCACGGGGAGGCCCCCGAGTCCGAGTGCGACATGGCGTGCGCCGGCGCCTCGGACGAGGCGTGCGGCGGCTACGACAGGATGTCTGTCTGGTCCTATAGGACGACGTCTGTCACCGACACCGACTTCACGTGCGACGGGATCCAGAGGGGTGACTTCTGTTGCTCGGTAAGTGGGGCCTTTCCGTACAACGAGCGTNCGGCGCCTCGGACGAGGCGTGCGGCGGCTACGACAGGATGTCTGTCTGGACCTATAGGACGACGTCTGTCACCGACACCGACTTCACGTGCGACGGGATCCAGAGGGGTGACTTCTGTTGCTCGGTAGGTGGGGTCTTTCCGTACAACGAGCGGTTCTTGGTTGGCGGGTGGGTGTGTAGTGCTCGATTCGGCGTCAGCCCAAATCAAACCGCTCCGCTGCTGAAAACGATGGTGGTATTGGGTGGATTGTGGTGGTGAGGTGGAAAGAGGCACCGATTACCCCATCCTTCTTGGCGATTGGTTGTGGCCGTGTTCTAAATGCCCGTTTGGGATAGACCGGACACTAGTTTCNATGTCTGTCTGGACCTATAGGACGACGTCTGTCACCGACACCGACTTCACGTGCGACGGGATCCAGAGGGGTGACTTCTGTTGCTCGGTAGGTGGGGTCTTTCCGTACAACGAGCGGTTCTTGGTTGGCGGGTGGGTGTGTAGTGCTCGATTCGGCGTCAGCCCAAATCAAACCGCTCCGCTGCTGAAAACGATGGTGGTATTGGGTGGATTGTGGTGGTGAGGTGGAAAGAGGCACCGATTACCCCATCCTTCTTGGCGTTCCAAATGCCCGTTTGGGATAGACCGGACACTAGTTTTGGGTGTTGGGCCCCGTTTCGCGGTTTTCGAAGCAACCCACGGCTGTGTGCGGTCGCGTTGGACGCGAACAGGGTTTCTTGTTGTTGGATGCCTCTTCTCCTACAAACCTTGCTGTGCTAGGTTTGTGCTTGAACCTTGGACACCTGCTGAGTTCATTCCGCCACTGTTCGCCNACACTAGTTTTGGGTGTTGGGCCCCGTTTCGCGGTTTTCGAAGCAACCCACGGCTGTGTGCGGTCGCGTTGGACGCGAACAGGGTTTCTTGTAGTTGGATGCCTANTTGTTGTTGGATGCCTCTTCTCCTACAAACCTTGCTGTGCTAGGTTTGTTCTAGAACCTTGGACACCTGCTGAGTTCATTCCGCCACTGTTCGCGATGCAACAGGCCGGGTGCGGCGAGTGCGGCGGCGAAGGCTGCAGCAATCGCGGAGAGGGTTTGGACGGAGACGACTGCTGCCAGAGCAACATCGAGGACAACGGGAACATGTGCTCCGTCACCGGCAAGGCTCCTTGCATGATCGACTAAGAAACCGAGTGTTAACTTCGTGTCTGGCGTCGTTCTGCCACTGCTCTCCCTGCCGTGTCACACGGTGGAACGGCGTCGATTGTTTACTCGCGACAAGAGCATCATGTGGACCTAGAGGAACGGGGTTGTCGCCACAATACGGTCAGAAGAGGTGGGTAGGGTGGGAANTTACTCGCGACAAGAGCATCGTGTGGACCTAGAGGAACGGGGTTGTCGCCACAATACGGCCAGAAGAGGTGGGTAGGGTGGGAGGCAACCGCGCTGTACATTTTGGGAGAGCAGGAGCGGCTCTGCCTCGCGCGTCATGGTCATGGTTGTGGTTGACAACCCTATGCAACCAACGGCTGGTCCGGCACACATCTTCATTGGCTCTATGTTTGATTGTTGTTTTCTCAGCAGGAGCGGGGGGGGGGTTGTACAACCAATGTGATGACTGATGATACATTTCTTGGTGACTTTGTTGGTATATACTTGGCTGCTTCCAATGTTAACAAGCCGTGTACTCTTCAGCTTGTTGCCGAGTACCAATCAGAATGTGGAGCCCCTGTACGCAGTGTAGTAGCCCGTGTGGAGCACCCGGACTTCGGGATGAATCTTTTTCTAGCTTGATTATGATTTGTATTGCTCGGTTACGATTATTTTGGCTGACGATCTGCTTCGTTCAGTGGTGAATTCCATTGCTTGTTTTTGTGATTTCTCTACAGCTTGATTAGGAGGTGTTTCGCTAGACTATGATTTATTTTGGTGGACGATCTGAATTATTGCTTGTTATTATGATTTTGCTTGCTTGATTATGAGGTGTTTCGCTCGATTATGATATATTCTGGTTAACAATCTGCTTCAACAATCAAGATATAGAAGCGGTAACCTTGGTGGTGGCGATAGAGTATACACATTTCAGGCGCTCGGGAATACTCCGTAGTATATATTTCAGGAATCTGGGTCTTGCGACAATCTCGTGATCGATGTTTTGCATTTCCTTGGCCGNAGAGTATACACATTTCAGGCGCTCGGGTATACTCCGTAGTATACATTTCAGGAATCTGGGTCTTGCGACAACCTCGTGATCGATGTTTTGCATTTCCTTCCGCCATTCGACGCCTCTGCGCAGCAACAAGTTGGTAGTACGACATCAAATAGTTTGAACGTATGGAATACTTGTCCGATTTACGTCGGTTCGTGCACGGTGGGGTGTATCGGGGGAAATTGGTGCAGGTACGTGCAGGCTATACTCGTGAGTTGATCGCGCGCAGTGTAGGTTCGTCTGATTTCCTCGGACGGCCGACCGTCTTGTACTATTGGACAGATTAGTACCAAGGAATGCGCTGAGAAAATAAGGAGAAGAAGGGACATTGTCGGGCGTTGAAACGATCAATGGCTGGGGTGTTCCGTGAATGCGTGGTCGGAAAATATCGTTTTCGCCTGCATTTTGTCGGCGGGTGATTAACCATAAAGCTGTAAATAGCCCCGCAAACAAGGGAGTGAGGCATGTTACGGCTTGGTGAGTCAGGGAGAGGCCATCCCAGAATAGCATAGAACATGGAGGAAGCATGCGCTGACAACGCTACCAGGAGTGTACAACAATGAGCACCTGGTGCCCTATGTTCGGTGCCATTGAATGCAAATAGACTAGGGTATGAGCTAGGTGTTTTTTGGTCAGCCAATCCTCTCTGGCAGATACGGAGGGTAGCAAGGTTAAGATGTACGAACATGGAGTGCGACGACGACGACTTATCCATCTCAGGTCGCTGGTGAACAAGCGCGTTATGTGGGCATGGTGTTTGTCCACTGAATGTTTGAAGCGATTGGGTCTTTCTTCATCATCTGTATTGCGTCTATTTTATGTTCCTGTCTCAGTCCACCAACATCGTTAGCGTTCTTCAACCTAGTGGTGGACTTGCGCTTGAGCCTCGTATTCTTGACTCTGTGTGCTCTCTTGTGCGGAGGGCTACGGAGATGTCCAGTCGTTTCTTCTCCTTTGGAACATGGGGAAGGAAGAGGAGAAGCTGGAGAAAGGTCAGAACAATTGTTGATGGCGTAAACAAATAGTCTACTGCATGCTCTGTAGTGTTGAAGACTCAACAACAACAGCAACATACAGTGTGTGGGGGTGCCAGGCAGAGTACTGATCTACGGGGCCTCAAGGGGTTGAGTGGATGACCTGTGTACGATGGATATGCTGCGTGAGGATCGCCTTGTCTCCCGCATGTCTATCATTATCGTGCTGGGTGCTGCAGCTTCGTCCAAGACCGAAAGAGAAACATGTTGACTCAAGATCATATCGTTAACGAGTGACAGACATGAGGTGCCCCACCGCCCCCCCGTCCCAGATCCAATACTGTTCGGATCATCCCCCACCTTCCTGCTATTTTTTCTTGCAGCCGCCGTATGTTCGGGCTCAGTTCTTACGTGTGTGCGCGTTGGTATACCACAATGGGCGAGTTCGTATTCTTCATGCCATGTCGGAACTGAGAACCTGTGCTTTAGGCCATAAAGTTCTGAGCTTTCGAATGTGTTTTGGATATGTCCTTCACTCCCAGGTTGTTTTAGGTACCCATCTTCGCATTCCCTTTGCTCCCAGTGTAACGGGAGTTTCCTTTCCAACCCTCAGGGTTCTTGCCGGGTTCTTCTTGGAGCTTCATGTGATGCTAAATAGGTTGGGTTGAGCCCTCCTTCTTCAGCCTCCCCTTGGTGGTGCCTTTCCAAGGAGTTCTGGGGCCTTTGCGTGCCTCCCGCGGAGAGATTGAGAAGAACCGGATGTAGTACCCAACCTTGTCCTGAATGAAATGGCTTGATGCAAGGGAAACGGGCCACTTTATTGTGGTTTCTCTTTCGGATGGCTCCATTGCTTATTTTGTTTCTAGGCCACGCGTTGGGGAGAGAGACACACGGAGAACGCATGTGGTCTCGCCGGCAGATTGAATACGAGGTGAGACCCGTCTCTCTCCCCACAAATAACACCAGCCGGGGGCCTACAACTGCAAACGCAGGAGTCCCACAACCGACCAAGTCCCCCAATGGTACAATTCATTCTACAACACCGATATCGAGGTCGTTTTCTGGACGAATACCGTGTGGTCGACTTTCTGTTTCCCTCCCCCCGGCTGTCTCGTGGCTATTCTGATGCTACCTCCGTGCGCTTCCGCGACACCGTTCGCGACGCCACTGCTCTTTGTTCTGAGCGTACGGTTTGTATGCATCCGACCTGCACTCTCCCTCTCTCAAAAGTGCTCGTTCTGCGATGTCTCCGCTTGATGCTGAAGTCGTCGCTCCTCCAACCGCAAGAAGTGGAATGCGTACTTCCGGGGTTTCGCCCGGACATCGCAACCGCCGCACGGAGGGCAGCGCCATGCTTCTTCCTACGTGATATTTGCTCGTCGCCGTCAGGTCAACTTAGACAGCACATTTGTCGGAAGCGCTTCTATCCTGCGCTGCCCGTACCGCAGTTACGGAGGGGGGGGGACGTACTCTTATGTTTCGCATGCCTTAGCGGTTAGACCATTGACCACGTGTCCTCGAGAGGACGGAGCATTGTTCCCACAGGACCGATCACCGATGGTCAATCGTTCCTTTCTACTTTGCCAAAGGTGACTCAAAAATGTCTTCCCTGGTCTGTCTATCCTAACGACATCCCTTCCCGCCTTTTCAACCCACCTCCTATGCCCGAGTTTTCGTGTGTTTGGATACGGACTGGTTCGATCTACCGGTAACAACAGAAGGCACGCAGATGGGGCATATGTACGCCTTGAAATGGTTGCATGTGCGGGGACCCCTCGAACTCCAAAGAGGGCTTCACTTTTCCCTACTCCCCTTGCGTGTCTAATACAAGAGATAAAACGTCTTCCCCTTCCAAGTAAAGGACATATACGAACACACCAGNACGAACACACTAGTGTCAGTCCCTCGAGGGAGAGTCCATTAGGAATGTCAGGTCGCAAAGATGGGGGTGACTCCTCCAGCGACTCTGCGGCGGAAGACAGAAAGAGGTCAAGAGAAGAGCTCGTGGCCCTGAGGATGCAAGTCAGCTCGCTGACGAATCAGATGAGCCAGCTAATGTCGCTAGTGGAAGTNCTCCCCTTGCGTGTCTAATACAAGAGATAAAACGTCTTCCCCTTCCAAGTAAAGGACATATACGAACACACCAGTGTCAGTCCCTCCAGGGAGAGTCCATTAGGAATGTCAGCTCGTAAAGATGGGGGTGACTCCTCCAGCGACTCTGCGGCGGAAGACAGAAAGAGGTCAAGAGAAGAGCTCGTGGCCCTGAGGATGCAAGTCAGCTCGCTGACGAATCAGATGAGCCAGCTAATGTCGCTAGTGGAAGTTACCATGAAGGCAAGCAAGAAAGAGGAGCCAGCTGGCACCATGGAGGGTGCCGCTGATCGCGGCGATGCTAGGGAGAGCGCCGCCGCGGAGTCCACGAACGCCGAAGGAGAGGCACGNGAGGTGAGAGTAGCCGCTGCTCACAACCAAGATTATAGTAGTGCCATGGGCGATGGTGATGCTGCTGTTGGCTTTGGGTACGGAGCCACAACCCCAGCGACGGGGTACCAAAGTGTGCGGTACACTTCTCCTCCGTTCAGCGGGAAATCGAAAGATTTCAACGAATGGCTAAATGATTTCCGCATGGCAGCTAATGGCGCAAACCTGTTGGAACAATTTGAAGAGAGCGGGAGCTTGGAGATCCCCGTCAACAGCGGAAAGAGCAAGTTTTCGCTGTCACAGCAGTACCGGAGCGAGCAAGTAGAGCTCGCATTCCACGCGTGGAACTTCCTGTCTCACGCGTTGAAAGAAAATGTTCGGAAAATCATGAAGAGGGCAGAGACGCCCCAGGGAGCTCTTCGTAAGCTCAAGACCATACACGACCCTGAATTATCTGTGCAGCCGTTAGAGGACCTCAAGTCCCTGACGTCGACCAAAATCTCTAGAGGTGAAACCCCCCAAAACGCCCTCAATGAGATGCTCCAAACCGCAAAGTCCTTAACCGAGAAAGGACTAACTGTCAACGAAACGTTCGTCCTTCACCTCTTCCTGGATGCCCTTTCGGACGAGTATGCCATGACAAAGCACAACCTGCGACACGGGAAGGAGTTGACGCGGACCGGTGTGCTAAAGGAAGTAATGATCGAAAACAAGGCGTTCAAGGACAAGCTGGAGCAGGGGAAAGGAAAAGGGGCGAAGGGCGCAAAGCAAGCGTACTTCGCCGACG